CAACTGTGTCTCTTTTTCACCTATTCAGTTAATTTCGCTCATGTAGACATTTGATTGAGATAGTTATTGTTGCCATATCGTTATCATTCTTTACAAATACCCTTCGTCTTAGTTTTAATTAAGTCCAGTTGAAGTGGTTATACAACAAGAAAGGGAAACGTCCACCAATCATATTATCTACAGATAATTAGTCATATGGGTCAAATTTATGAACCAATGAAATGACAGTTATCATGGGCGTATATCCAACTGATGAATTGATTGGTATTGTTCAAATTATGGTTATGAATCAACTGTCCCAACAATAATATTAATAATTCATGAGATCACTGCCTCTTAGAATAAGTATTACGAAGAATTTCAACCTTTTGACCTAGATTTTTTAAAGTGATATACGGTGATGGGAGAAAACCAAACTCAATCAATCCCAATATAAAAGGGGGACACCTTTCATTACATCTATCGAGTTAATTCCTTTTGTTAATTTTCTCTCTGAACGTATATAGTACTGAAAATTTTCACAGCTCTACATTGAACTAAACATCATCAAACATTATAACTAAATTCACTGTACTCCTGGAAAGTCGTCTTGTCGTCTATTGGTTAAGATACTTAAGAAAGTATCTTTTCAAATTAGCACTATAACTTTATTCATCTTCTTCGTACCTCAGTGAACTCGTTAACAATTTAAAAAATTCGGATATCGCATTTACTTTGAGTAGTTTAAAAATTTCTGTTTCCTAGTCGAAACAAAAACGGATTTGAATAAATTACTGTTCTCAGTAGCTTTCTCCACAAACTCTTCCTAATATAATTCTATTTATAGAATCAAAATTGCAATTTAAAAAGGACACAGTATAAGGTGAAAATTCACCATGGTTCCTTTCGGAAACACAAAATATTTACATCACATTATGTAATCTGCTTTTTTATATCGTAAATAGTAATCAAGAAAGGAAGCATAAATACATAATGTTATATACTAATGACTGATATTAGCGTTTCGAAACCTCCAGTTTCAGTCTACAGTGATTTGAATCTATGCGGCTTTCTAAGCTGAGTCGAACCGGTCACACTTCTCATGAGCTCAGCTTCAAACGGTCGAAACTGCCATCTAGTGTTCAGATTACTTCGAGCTATCCAGAAGTCACTACCAGTAGACTAAGGGTGTTTCCTACTACTCACATTATTCAGTAGTATATGTCATCTTATGATTTTACTTATGTCTTTTACGAGCTATTACACGATAATCCTTCTGGATTTTCAGTCGTAGAGTCTGAAGAGGTTAATAATGACAAAGGTTCTGTCAGATATTTTTGTTTGGAATAATAACTTTTTATATAGTAATAAAAAATGATGATGTCAAATTTATAGGGTCATTAAACTTAAGCTATCTAGATGCTGTGCACACAGTGATGTTTTTGTAAGGTTATAATTATATTGACATTTTCAAGTGTTGGCTTTCAGGGATTTGAATGCTTTCAAGTTTGATCACTGAATGACATCAGTTAAAGGACCATTGAGAATCAGGAAAGGCTGCTCATCTGTTTCTTTCCAGTATGAGTATCTCTAGCAGTTCTCCCCCAATACTCCACCAAGGACCTAATTCAGGACTCTTAGGTTGTAAGGTGAGGTTTTAGACCATTCAGTCATTGACACAGAATCCAATGGCCCGTCAATTATGATTTCTGTAACTCTGAGATTTATAGTGAGTAATGCTATGGAGTCCCGAAATGAAACAAAGCGGCTGTCTAGAATTGTCTCATTTTCAAAAGATCTGTCATTTCTGTTGTTTATTAACGAAATCTGTCTTGAAATCCTTCAATTTACCACAAGTAACTGGTTACAAGATTGAGTTCCTAAAGTTGTAATGAAAAAATCAAGACCCTTGAAACGAGGGAAGATGAAATGTTATTTAGAGTAATGTGATGTACTACTAGGTAGCTTGTGTAATTAGAAGCGATCACAGCTATCAGTAGATTTCATCAGGTGGCTTAAAGCGATAGAATTTCTTGTTTGTCATTATTTTCATATACAGTGTGGTTGACTAAATAATCCCAAGACGTGGAACTGTTGAGGTCAATTTAGCTACATAGCTAGTTCATGCAGCATGAGCAGTTTGCAACTAATCAGCTATATACCTAAATAGTATGTTTTGTTAATTAAATACTTGCATTTTCTCTAGACAAATCTAATGAATTACACTGTAGCCGTTTTGTGCATCTTTAAGGCTAACGGCTAAGTGTGTTGCATATGAGAAGTTAATTTTACGATACGTCTTACACTGATGAATAAATACTTCCGACAGGTAGTTTTTTCAAATTACTTTAGTAATGTTTTTCTGAATAACCTAACTTTCGGTCTACGAACTTTTAGATCAGTCGGTTTAGGTCAATACGACTGTTATTGTTTTACACCTCTAGCCACTACTGATATAGTTTTGTTTAAGACTTCCCTCCCTTTCTGATTAGAAGAAGAAATGTTGGTTCTGTCTACTATTATTGTTTCGAGTTGCTGTACGCTCATTCACTTCTAATATCACTAGTATTATTACATCTGACAATTGAAATTGTATATTTCAATAGCCTATAATCGTTGTAAATGTATTTTACAAAGCGCATGGAAAATGTTCAACGTCTAAGCATTGGAGTGGCCTAGTTAAACTACTAACGAGTAGAAAATACTTCTACGTTAAAGTAACTAACTGTTCATTTACTGCATTCGTGATATATTATAAGCGGAGATACAGCAATTACTTTGTTTCCATTGATCATAGTCGTAAATATTTATGAGTCACTTGTCATTTTCAGCTGATGAGTATCTTATCGACTTTACCCTACTAGGACTAATCTGCCTCTTAACTTTTGTTTAATTTTTTTCTTCGGCTGCAACCATAAAATGTGTCAAGTTGAAATGATTTTTGACTACTCCCATTTTTAAATTGTTAAATTTTAGGTCAAACTGTTGAATATAATTTAAGTCAGTTTAGATTTTCCTGTCGATTGATTGAGCCGAAATGCTCGGTCTCAGATTGGCATGTCGGCTCGTTGTGTGGATACTTCGACGATGTCTGGTAACGTAACTTGAAATGAATCGGTTGACGGTGACTAGCAGTGGAATTCAGAATGCGAATTTCGTCCTATTTGGGACTCACCATGTAGATGTGCCAGTGAATGATCGTGTTCCCACCAAGGCTCGAAACCAGTGCTCATAGTCTCAAACGCCAAAGTGTTATCCACTGGACCACTTGGTCTAAGACCTATCACTTCGGCCCAATCAATCGACGGGAAAACCTAAACTGACTTAAATAATTAATAAGACCCGTTGCACAATCGATGACTCTTGCGGCCCAAGTGGTCTAGTGGATAACACTTTGGCGTTTGAGACTATTAGCGCTGGGTTCGAGCCTTGGTGGGAACAGGATCACTCAATGGGGAATGCACGTACGTCCAAATGACGAGTCGTAAATAGGACGAAATACCCATCCTGAATTCCACTGCTAGTCACCATCAACCAATTGACTTCAAACTGCTGAATATTTATAGTCAAATAATGTACAGTGGGATAAACTGAAAATATATTAAATCATGAATTAAAGATATACAAGGAACCCATTAGTCAACCCATTTTGTAACCCAAGTGAAGCATATATTCTAAAACTTACTAAAACTAGTTCAGTTATTATTTTGAATGATGTTACTGACCTCTGTAGCTTGCTGTTAAAGTAACACATATGTATGAAAATTCATATTTAACTTTATCATAAAACTTTCATCAATAACAGTGTTGAATCCTATCTTATCAAATTTCACACCATGTTACTTAACGTTTTATATTAGCTAACTAACCCTATAATTACACACCCCTTTCCAACATCTGTACATCTTATGAATTATTCTATAATGACATTAACTGTTTTGCTACTTGACATTTAACTACGATTGTAATCACAAATATTTTAATTGCAATTCATACTATTATTAGTTCATGTATTCACACCTATGATTCAATTCCCTCACCGGATATAATTTCCTAAGAAACCGTTGATATACGATTGTACAGCTTGATAATAAATTCGTTGAGAAGAATCTCTTCGCTGAATACGGTGTGTAAGATCAATTTTAATTCCCATCCTTCAATGAAGTCAACCTGTCCCGGATCTGCCTAGCGTTGTTGCAACCCAATTATCCATGCCTTATGTGTCTATCCCCCCTTGTTTAATGAACTGTGTGTGTTTTCACATCGATTCGTTTAGTCAGACAGTTGAACTCATGACCCAATCAGAGTATTTTTGTGAACTGTTATTTTGCTGACCCATGTCTTACTTTGTACTATTCTGTCGAGTTTATCTTATTTATTGACCTTCATCTATATCTGCCTACCTGGCTAAGTAGCCAATTAAATTCTATCTTTGTGCCTATGCTCTGTCTATCTCTTACTTGGGTTCATTCTTCTACTGACTGCTTACCTGAACGGTCGTGTCTGATTCCGGCTAGTTCGCAATTTTGGCTTTAACGTTATTCCGCTGTGATAGCGGTACCTTGCTTTCTGTTAAGCGTTGTGCTTTGTACTCTTGAAACCGTTAAGGTTTGTTATATATATAATTAATTATTGATTTGTTCATTAATAGTACCGTAGAAACAGTGACCGGCTTCTTGTTTGTTCTGGACCGGGATAGCCTTTATCTACGCGTGACTTAATTTCAAGCGATATTGCGCTTACACGGTGTTCTTAATAACTGAAGCGACAATTTTAATGATTTTCTACTTTCATCCCATTGATAAATATGCCAACGGTAGGCTGAACACTCAGCTTACTCATAGAAGAATGTAAACACTGAGTGTTATCGAGATGAATATTTAACCTTTACTGTATATAAGAATAGAAAACTGTGTTGTCGGAAAAATTTCATTTGTCATTGATATTTTTCATTTGTTCGCCTTTCCTTAAGACACTTAATCTCTCCTTACAATCCTTTTTTCATTTCTGTTTAATTTTAGGATCTACCGCCCAGCATACCATATGAATTTCGTGATACATTTAATTTGCTAAAACAAGAATCTCGACAACTCAGTCCTCAAGATCATAACAGAACAGAGAATGAAATACATTCCATTATAGAATCATCACAGCAACAATTAAAGAAAGATTTAGAATATTCTCCAAACTCACAAAAGAAATTTAACTCTGTCAAAATGAAATCAAATTTAAATTGGTCTAAGACAGAAGAGAAATTATTAGATAGTATGAGTACGAGAACATTTAAAGCAAATAATGTTTATCCACCTATAGAATCTAATAAAATCAATAATAAGTCATCGATTGAACTGACTCCAAATACATTTAATTCAGTAAAAGATTTTACAGGTTATTGGTTACCTATTCAAGGACGTATACATGATAAATGCTTGAATTTAATGAAAGTATTACATCAGAGTAAAGTATACAGTTCAACGTGTCCAATAACTTCATTATTTTCTCAAATGGACAATGAATTTATAATTCTTAGTCAGTTATGTACAATAATGATTGGTCTTTCTAAACAATCCTCTTTGGATAATGGTTTAACTCGCAAGTTTATAATATATCGTCAAAATATGGAGAATTTAGCTGAAATGTTCATCAAAATTTCTAAAAATTGTAACACAAACTTTGATAGTCAGTATCAAAACAAACAGGCTTCACAATCTAATAGTAGACAAATAAAACGAGACAATCGTGTTAATATTAAAAGAAATTCTAACAATGAAGGCGATTATAATGGGATTCAAGGGGATAATTATGAAGATGGAGATGATAAGAATCTATTGGAGCAAACTATTCAAGAACTACTCACTGAAGTGAATTTATTCTATACAACAATTTTAGCTAATTCTAAAATATTATTTAATAATTCAATAAATAAATCCCCTGAAATAATTCGTAAGATATCCTCTCCTGTGGAAGAAGTAGAGACTAAAGCGATTCCTAAATTAAGCACACCTGTCCCATTACTTTTTCCTCCTCCTATACATTCTTCTTCTTCACAGTCCTATTTGGACAATCGAAAATTCTTATCGAAATCACATGAATTCATTGACACCTTATCACCAAATTCTACCACTAGTCAACAAACAGAATTTGCCAAACTTCAAAAATATCAAAATGCCGATTTTCAAAAATTATCTCAACTTTGTTTAAATGCATTAAAAGTTATTGATGGCTATTTAAATTATTTGATGCAATTTCAAACTGATACTTATACAGGTTATTCTTTTAGTCATAATAATTGTCGAAAAAGTTTATCTATACACTCAATTGTTGGACAGACTAAACTAGTGATGCAGTCATGCAGTGAATTGGTACGTTGTACAACATCTATTTGTAATGAAAAGAAATTGTCCCCATCACGAATACTTACATCCTCTTGTCAAGGGGATGATATTTTCAGTCGTAATGATTCCAGTACAACTACTATGAATACAAATTCTTCCGGTAAGAAATTAGAGCATATGGCTGATCAAGTGTGTGAAGCTTTAAAAGGTTTAGTAACTCAAACTAAAGAGACAGCAAAGTTTATAACAAATGATTTTGAAAATCTACCAACTGATAAGGTGATTCCAATACCTGGTCCATTATTACAACGTTTAAGTGGTGCTTTAAAATCAGTTCAAAATTCAATTGAGACAATAAACAAATGGGTGACAAGTGAATATTGTCAAAAGAAAGGAAATTTAAAGTATTTATCTTCTACACATATATGATGAATAGATTGGCATTTTTCTTTATTTTTGTTTTCTTCTTCTTCTTGTCAGTGTATTAAAACAACTAATTTTTGTCCATTTTGTTCTTGGCGTTCATGTCATTATTAATTGTACATTATATTTCACATTACAACTACTGTTATTTTTTATGCACTCGTTACACAATACGTTAGGCAGATATACGCACAAATATATATATATGTACCTATTACATATCATTCCGTGAATAGTTTGTAGAATGAAATCAGCAGTAATTAAGTGTTCATTCTACCTACCTTCAGGTGGTGAATACATTAATCTGTTCAACTTTTATCTTGTTCGGACACCCTTTTTGTATTTATTAAAAAGCAAAAAAAAAAACTAGCAAAATGTTATGCATTTTGATTGATGTCTTATATATTACTTTCATGTATTACTTTTACTTTGAAATTTGTAATGACATGCAAAAATTCAATATTGTGATATGAATACGTTTGTTCTTATCTTACTTACGAAACCGATAAGTCAACAAAGAGATATCTTTACGTAACTCTTTGTTCAAAGCTGTACGGTTATTCAAGGATTTATGCATTATCTGATTTGTTTTAATTTTATTCTTTTATATTCCGACTGGAATATAGGGCTTCAAGCTAGAGCTTTGAAGTCCCACCAACATTAGTTTATTTTTACGGAGTGAGGTTGGTAGCCTAACACGTTCAACCTTCCCTCTTTATCGGCCTTAACACCAACTTAGTGAGGTGCAGAAGTGCGTCGGTCAGGGATTGGACCCCGGACTTCTTACGCGGTTGGCGGGCATTGTGCTGCTGAACCATCGACTCATTAAAGGGGTTTATATGTTCAGTGTTAGTCGAAGACAAAGGTCAGAGGTTAGTGTCAGTTAGCAAAAAAATAAATCATAGTGTGTGATAAATGACAATGTGTGGAAAATAGTGAATAATCTTACATAATCGAGAGGAGGACAACAAGTTGATAACTAATCAGTTAAGCGATAAATAGTCAACTGGAAATGACTGATAGGAAAGAAGAGAACAAAGAATCGAAAATAGGTTACAAAGAAGTGATAAAATGCAAGGACTACATAGATTTTATTATGCAGCATATAAAGTAAACAAAAGTGACACTAAGGCCATAAAAGACAATTTTGGAGTACATTATTGCTTCTGGTCATGTAGTATTAGTGGAGATTTCACTCAAAGTCATTATTATAAAGTTCGTTGAAGTCGTTCAAAAAGGATTTTCTTAACACTTTCTTCATGAGGCTAGAGCTATAGCCATTCATCTGTTTTCCATACATTGTCATTTATCACACTCTATGATTTAATTTTTTGCTAACTGACACTAACCTCTGAACTTTGTCTTCGACTAACACTGAACATATTCAGCTTTGAACAAGGAATCATGAAAAGATATCTCTTTACTGACTTATATGTTTTTAATTACATCACATGGGAATTTCGCACACCTTATGTTAGTTGATTCGTTTATACCTTGGTACTAATAGTCGTTACTTCCTGTTAGCACTTACTGTTGATATCTTCTTGAGATATATGAAGTAGAAAATAAGTTAATTTAACAAGTTTAATAAAGGCAATTATCATGTATCACATTTTAAAAATCTTCTTGGTTAGACAGTTGCCTCCATTGCTACACAGAACCTCATCGCGGACAATGTGAAGCTGCATAATATTGAGGAGTGTACTGTTTTTATATCTAGCCTTATATTTTTCTTTGAGATAGCATACTTGAGATGTTTCTGTAAAATAACCAGTGTGAACAACAGTAGGAATGTAATGCTTGACCTTCAACATAAGTATGCTATGATGATAGTTGCTTATAGTTTCACCGTTAGACAACCAACCCATCTGAAGTGATACAAACTCAATAAAACATATTTTTTAAAGGTCAGGGTAGTTTGTGATTTCTCATGATATGCAAACCTTATATTTATTTTAATTGGTGTGGTGGATTCATCATAAATGATAATCTTAAGTGTGCAATTAATAGTGTTCTCTGAGCTGGTTGGTTTAGTTGCGGAGCTTTCGTCCTCCTTCTGGACAACATCTTCAGCACAGTATTTAGCACAAAGTGAAATTATTTAAATTGCTTCATGAGTGATATAATTGCGTCTCCTGGTAACCATCTTCACATATGTATGATCGTTTTCTATTGACTTGGATTTTAAACTTTCTGGTCACCTGATTTACTTTTTATTAGTTGGTATATTTCGTCTATATTAACGTGTTTGTTAACTGCATTTTCGTTTGAGTACCAGGCTTCTAGGAATTCGCTGGCACTTTTGGTGTTTCCTCTATCTAAAATTTCAACATTGTCCCAATCAAGCTGATTTCCATAATTGTCTATATGCATTGATATGAAAGAATATATATCGTGTCTTATCACGGCTGATTTGTGTTCCTGGATTCGGGACGCCCACTTTGGCCGATGTAATGCCTGTTACAGTTCATACAATTTAAAGTAAATCAGGTGACCAGAAAGTTTAAAATCCAAGTCAATAGAAAATGGTCAATACATATGTGAAGATGGTTACCAGGAGACGCAATTATATCACTCATGAAGAAATTTAAATAATTTCATTTTGTGCTAAATATTGCGCTGAAGATGTTGTCCAGAACCAAACCAACCAGCTCAGAGAACACTATAAATTGCAAATCATCCACCTGAGTTACAAATCTCTTTTATTTCAAAATCTTAAGTGCTGTGAGTATTCTGTCATTAACGATTAGTTATAAGTTTGATTTACAAGTAAGTGAATATACGGACAGCTATCAAAATCCAGTTCTTAACCGTATTTATCCAGGAAGTAAAGTTAACACACTGTTCATAAGCAAATATAAAGTTGAATTCTAAATAAGAGATGGAATTCGAAGCTTTCTGATATTCTCTGAGCTTTGGTATTTAATCATGGATGCTGAAGATGTTATAGAAATCAGTGATGATGAGCAAAAACGTTGAACACTTTCCATCTTAATCCTGAAACACAAAGCCTGAATAGTTTCGCTGATGTACTAATAACTCGGTGACTAATTCTATTTCTCCTTTTCTTCAAATCAGCATCTCTGTATTGGTTTATTTTATTTGACGTCAGGCATGATATTTATGCTCAGATGGGCTTTTATCTATTAGTGTTTTGTGGTAGGAGTAAAACAAATTAAGTGGAAAATTTCAAATTAGTTGGATCTCCATACAACCAACTGAATTCATCCACTTTTATACAGATGACTTACAGAAAAGAGTAAAACACAAGCACCAGTTTTTTGGTGAGTTATTATCGAACGAAATTTAACTGAATAAAATACATCCAAATTTAAACAGTATTGAAGGATATCCACTAAATTAATTATAGAAGAGAAAAAATCGCACGTAATTTTAGCGAATTAAGACCTTCTTTTTCAACGGATTCAAATATCATGGTGTACATTGTTGGGTATATATTAAAATCGATAAAACAACATAGAATACATTTTGGTCCAGAGTTAAATAAGTTAAATAACAAGACCGAAGTGAATGTAGGTTTTGGACTGGGAAAATTAAACAAATGAATGTGCAAATAAATAAGATTAAAACAAAAGACAGATTACCTGTAATCGTAAACTTTTTATGGTAGACAAGATGAAGATGCTTCGATACTTCAGTGGTAGAATGCCTGTCAGCCTCACACACATGGTTCGGGTTCATTCCCGAGGTGACACGGAAAAGAAGAAAGGTTGAGCATAAGGACAAAAACTCTACCTCTTAAAAACAATACCATAGCCAGCGAAACCTCAAGGCTTGAAGCCTATTCGAAAGGTTAGGAATGAAAACAAAATGGCGAAGATCGAGGGTAAACGTAGTTCGTTGGATATAAAATAGCCCTAGTGATCAAGTTGTACCCATATGTCTTAATCTCATTTCTTCTGAATGACTTATTAAGTCTTAATATGGGATTTTCCAAAGAAGCTGAGTAAAATGATTTCAGAAGATATTCTGCCAATTGGCAGAGGTTGTCTTCCCATTCGCTACATGCTAACAAGACTCCGTGTTGCTCAAGAGTATATTTGTAAGACGGTGCTTGTGTATTTAACTCCATGGTATCAAATAAACTATTTAAATCATAGTGATGTTGCTCAACTCACTGATTTGTCGTGTACATATTGACTGGTAGGTTAACACTAGGAGAAATCCTGCACCAACCACATATGTGAACCTTTTCAAAAGCTACGTTTATTTGTTTGGTAATGTTCCTTAGTATTAAATTCTCATCTGCGAACTTCTTTGTGAACTCATTCCTCGCTAAACTTCTTCTTTGCATAAAACCTTACTGAATATGGCATACTCAGTGCATTCAGAACGTTCGCTTATGAAAACCTCGAAGGTATTATATAGTAAAAATTTGCAGTTCATATGGGTTGAAGAATAGACATGTGAATAATCCACTAAAATAACTATGAAGTAATTTTGGAAAGCATTTAAAAGACGGGACATAACAATAACTGAAGATTCAAGAGCTCCCTTCTTACATATTTATTATCTGCGGTCTAAATGAATAAATTTCAAAGTAGGGCTTTGCATGAGGCTCGTCATTTCAAGTTGCCACACTCCATAAAGCACACTGAGGTAGAGGAAGAAATTCAGAGCAACAATAATGAGTGGAAATGTACGTGAGAAAGAGGTGGAACATACAAGAACCTCAGATCTTAATGGGTCTGGAAGATCAAAAAAAGCAGGTGAGCTTATGTCAATGAGAATGATTCCAACTTCTTTTAACAACAGACTCCAATGCTTAGATCTTAGTAACCCGAAAACCCGAATCATGCAGTCTACACATCTTTATGTGACTCACAGTAATAGTGAAAGATTTAATGGATTGATGCCAGGTTTCGGTCTGACCACTCCTAACTATTTCCCAACCCAATCTTATGTCAGCCAGCACTGTCCGTCAGGGAAGACGACGGCCCGACATGCCAACAATTGTCCTAACCATTTCAACCGATGCAGCTCCACAACCTCGTTGGTTGATTTCCCCTTCTTATTTGACACTCTATGACTCACTTTAATATTGTCCACCATATTATATCATTTGACGCGAGAGATAAAGGTGAAAAACCTGCGGTCAGGGACAGCCGGTCTCTTCATATCTTCCACTAGAGGTGAAGCAAGTTGGCTATCTCAGATACACACATAGTTATTTCTTTCCTGAATAGAAACTTGGTGTTTTAATCAAGTTTGAGGCATAGAGGCATACTTGCTACCTTTTTTGTGTGCCTTTTCAGTTTTAGGCATCTGTGTGCATGGACTAGGGAGTATTCTGAGACTGCGCAGGTGTCTCAGAAGGAGCGGCAGTCCTCTGCTCACATACTTCACAGATAGCTTATAGCAAAGTAATCTATTCC